GGGTACGCAGATGGAATCACCGGCTCCCTGCGTCCGTGAAGCTTTTGTGGCCGGTGCCTGGGGTCGTTCCTGACGTCAAGAGAGCATGGGGGGCGTGGAGGCGCGAGGGAGAGGCTGGAGGAGCAGGAGCAGAAACAAAAGGGGGATCTGGAAACGCGTCCGTGGCGCAGGCGCGCCCCAGTCCGTACCCATCTGGAGAGCGGGACTGTTCTGCGGGGCAGTTATACCCGAAATTCCTCCTGCTGGAGGGCGGTAGCTCCCTCAACGAGTCGTTCATGACGGTCAGTCTCGGAGGGTTCGGTACCAAGTTGAGGCAGGACCTAGTTGACCGCCTTGTCCCTCCTGAAGCAGGTGGGACAGACCCCTGTGCCCTTCCCTACGGAGATCCCACCGAGGGAAGCTGTCTAGAAATAACCACGCAAGCCGTAATGAAGTTGGGATGTAATCCATCCATATCAGCACTGTATTAATTTTAAAAAAAGCAACATTTGTACAGGAATATCAGTCGATCACGTCGTAATTACAAGTATGGTTGTCAGTGATGAGTTAAACAATGTCTTACACGAACTAAACAGGGAACAAGCTGCATTTAAAAGTTTACGTCGGAGTAAAAACACAAAGAACAATAAAAAAACCCGAAGTAAGCGTTGTGAACGAGATGCATGCAAAGAGGTGTAGCTAGGTACAACTGGTACACCTGATTGAGCTAGAGTGCCAAGACGCAGTAGTATTGCTTCTTTTTCCCCCGTGACAGTAAGTTAGCTTCCAGTAACAGCCGCAGTTAGGTCACAGACACATCCTACACAAGAGTAATCTCATCCCGCTACGCTTCACTTGACAACGACTCTAGAGGAAAAACACAGGTCCTACGAGATACCGCTCCTCTGCACAGGCTGCCTCCCTGCTCAGGACAGTAGTAACACCAAGCTCCTCCAAACCCCGTGCAAGTGGCAGGAGATTTCAGCGATGGAAAACCCAAAAATAATTAAAAAATAAACCGAAATCATTTGTTCGTCAGCTCCCGACAGCGACTCCCGGCCGGGAGCCGCCCCGGCAAAGCGGTTCTCCCTGCCCGCCCCCGCCCGCGGCGG